TATTTATTTATTTATTTATTTATTGCATTTTTACCCCACCCTCCCCGCGAACGGGCTCAGGGGGCATAAGCCCATACAAAAAAACAATATAAAACAGTAAAAACTATTACATCACAACAAAACAAATAAAGTGCTCCATACACACAAGATGGGTCTCTGAGGATGGTATCGATCATTTCCTTAGGTGAAATTGTCCTGTCGATGGTCCAAGCCAGTCCAGCGGCATCAGTGCCATGCAAATTTATGGCAGTTCTTTCGGGGACCGCTCCCAACCCCGTTGTTTCAGCGGTGGTAGTAGTAGAAGTGGCGGCCCCTATATAAAAGCCTGGCGGAAGAGCTCCATCTTGCAGGCCCTGCAGAATTACTTAAACTATTTTTGTAAGCGCAGTATGCATACAGGTTTTTGGGTTTTTTGGCTCATCTTTTGGACTAACCTTACCTCACAGACAGAAACTGGGTGTGATTGGTTGATCAGTAACTCATATTGGGGATACAGTAAGCTTCTGTATGGCATAAGGATTTGCCAGATCTGGATTAAGAAATTCTTAAGAGAAATTCTTAAGAGTCTGCGAAGGGGAGCTAGTTCAGCAGAGTTATAATGCCACAGAGTCCACCCTCCAAAGCAGCCATTTTCTCCAGGGGAACTGAGCTTGGTCACCTAGAGATACCAGCTCAGTTAGTTAGACAGAAGTGGGCTTCAATTGTCTATGACCTGGGCGACCTTAAGCATAAGGTAGTCTGCCACCAGGTCCTTTAGTGGTTCCCAACAGCTCTGGAATAAAAGACCAAACTTCCAGACTGGCTATGGAACTTAATACACAAGGTCAGTCCTGCAGAGTAGTCCAGAGACTGAGCTAAAAGACAAAAGGTGTTTAGTAGCAGTAGTTCACGGTTCAAGGCCACAGATTTAGGCTTTGAGGTTCAAGAAGCACAAATGTCACGACAGGGTAAAAATAGAATTTGTTTATTAATGTGCAAACGTAATCTAAAACACAAGACTTTTAGCAGCGAAGGAAAATAAAAGCTCTCTGCTTCACCAGCATAACTAATACTTACAAAAGCACTTGCAAAAGTATCATTCCAAGGTTCAAGGAGATACTGTAGTCCAGGATAACATGATGTTTCAAGTATAGCCCATCCGGGTAAAATCAAGACATGATGCCAGGTTGTAGGGGTGCTCTGGGACTATTGGCCAGGCTAGGCTTCATAATCCCATAGCACAGACTGAAGCCTTATTTTATAGAAGGAAAGGGGTCTCTGACCAGTCTAGGCCTTTGACCAGTCACAGACCAGCAAAGTGATGTAATCCTCTCCTTTCTACGAAGGCAAATAATATCCCATAATACTTCTAAGTGAGAGAACCGAAACCTATCCTGCAGCTAAGGGTCCGATACTCCAACACACAGGTGTTAATCATTCTGGAATGTGCTAATTGGTCGATTGCTCTCGTAGGGTTGCCAAGTCGTGGCAGGGGATCGTGTGTCTTTGCAGAATCCGTGCCGCGGAGACAGTGAGATGTGTTGCACCCGCCGTCGCCAGGATTTGACGCTATGCGTTGCTCTGGCAACGGGGCTCCAAACAGCCCCGTTGCCAGAGCGACGCGTAGCGTCATGTCCTGGCGACGGTGGTGCAACGCGTCTCGCTGTCCCTGTGGCATGGATCCTGCAAAGACGTGTGGATCCCCTGACATGATTTGGCGAGATTTGGGAGCCCTAGCTCTCAGGCCAGCACAGAACAGTACGGCCGCTGTAAGCAATCAAGGTCACAGCTCTTCTTCACTATCTGAGTCTCTAGGGAAGGTTTTTATTACAAACTCCTTCTAGGCCTCTAAGCCTGAACCAAAGATTTCATGCAAAGCAAGGAAAAAATGGCTTTTCATGACACTACGCTCCCCACCAAGGCAGGCTCAGGGCGGCTTACATTAAGGGTTAAAATACATTAAAACACATATTATAAACATCATTTTAAAAAATCATATACAATAACGAAATAAAGTGCTAGTGGCGGTATGATATTACGTAGAGATCCCAGTAGGCCATGGTGGAAGTTAGTTACTATAAGTAAAGGTAAAGGTTCCCTTGCTCGAAAGCCTGTCGAATCCGACTCTAGGGTTGCGGTGCTCATCTCCGTTTCAAAGCCGAAGAGCCAGCGCTGTCCAAAGACGTTTCCGTGGTCATGTGGCCGGCATGACTGAACACCAAGGCGCACCGAACGCTGTGACCTTCCCACCGAAGCGGTACCTATTTATCTACTTGCAATTTCTTGCTTTCGAACTGCTAGGTTAGCAGGAGCCGGAACTAGAGACGGGAGCTCACTCCGTCATGCGGCACACTCGGGTCTCGAACTGTTGAACAACCGACCTTCCACAGCCTGCAGTTCAGCGTCTTAACCACGTGAGCCACCGCAGCTCCTTACTATAAGTAGGATCCTATTCATGAAACGTTTGCACTACTTACTATGACAAGTTAATACTTATGCTATACTACCTTTTAGATTTCTGGTTGGTCTCAGGCTTCTACAATCCTAGTGCATTGGTTATTGCATGTTTCGGATCTGTTGATGTGCAGAGTTTGAGTCCAGCGTCTCCTTTAAGACCAACAATGTTTTATTCCTGGTATAAGCTTTTGTGTGCATGCCCACGTGTCTGAAGAAGTGTGCGTGCACATGGAAGCGTATACCCAGAATAAAACTTTGTCGGTCTTCAAGGTGCCCCTGGACTCAAAACTTTACTCTGCTGCTTCAGTGACCCACCTGGATCTACCAACCTGTTGATGGTACCCACTCACTCTGTGTGCTCTGCCTTGATTAATTAAATAAAATAAATAAATAAAAAGATCCAGCCCAATGTCAACCATTAGTAATAATCATCCAGGTGGCAACGTAGCTATTTTTAACCTCTGCTTTTCTGCCTTTCTCTCAAGCAGGGCAAGGGGAAGAGCTCTGGTGTTACAGCTGTGAAAACGAACGTACCGCTATGAACTGTGAGCACATGCAGAAGTGTGCGGAATCAGACTCCTACTGCGTGACATCTGTGATTCATGGTATGTACCACTCCCATTTCTCTTGAAAGCTGCAGCTCTCGCGGCGGAGGCGGGATTTCTTCCGCTCTCTCCAATTGGTCAGTCAGTGAGCCTCAGCCCCAACTTGTGGCTTGAGCCGTCGCCGAATGTTGTTGAACATTCCGTTCAGAGCTGGGCAAATCATCTATGCCCCTCAAGTTGTTTAACAATTTGTCTGGAAAATGGGCCTGTCAGACGGCTAGGGGTCTGAGGCTTCCAAAAGCAGCTAGGTAGGAACTCTCAGTCTGGGGCAAGAGATGCTCTGTCTTCTTGGTGCTTTGGGGGGGGGGTAACAGTGGGAGGGCTCCTAGTGTCCTGGCCCCACTGCTGGACCTCCTGATGGCCCCTGGTATTTTTGGCCACTGTGTGACACAGAGTGTTGGACTGGATGGGCCATTGGACCGACCCAACATTGGCTTCTCTTATGTTCTTAGGCTGACAGAGGGGGCATATTGGAGCCAGTGTTCCCTCTGAGCTGAGTTAGTGTGAGCTAGCTCACAGTTTTTTAGCCTCCAACTCACAGATTTCTGTCTTAGCTCAGGAATGATGGCTCCAGAGCAAACTAATTTATACAGTAGCTAAAATGCTCGCTCACAACTTTAATGCCGGTAGCTCACAAAGTAGAATTTTAGCTCACAAGACTCCACAACTTAGAGGAAACATTGGAGGAGCTGAGTGCCATTTCTAGGAGTGGCAGGTCTGGCTGGAGGAAGTAGAGGTCTCCCTCCGCCACCAAAGATTGGAGTGGAAGGGGTGGAATTTGGAAGGTGGGGGTCAGTTAAGGCCGAGTTTCAGCAGGGCTTACTCCATTTGCAGCATTGGAGCTCCATGCAGGAGTGCCCCCGCGTAAGTGCAAAGCGCATTTCCTTCAGCATACTGTATTCCCACACCCCAGAGAGCAGGAAGAAGAGTTTCATACCCCGCCCTTCACTATCCAATGGAGCCTCGGAGTGTTTTATAATCTCCTTCCCTTCATCTCCCCACAACAGGCACCCTGCGGGGTAGGTGGGGCTGAGAGAGCTCCAAAGGAGCTGCTCTTGAGAGAACAGCTCCGAGAGAACTGTGACTGACCCAAGGTCACCCAGCTGGCTGCAATCTGGAGGAGTGGGGAATCAAGCCCGGTTCTCCAGATTAGAGTCCACGCTCCTAACCACTACACCGAAGTGGCTCTCTGCCTTGGTAGGCAGCCCCCCCACCGTGCCTCTGACGTCCCAACTATTTCTTTGACTTTGGGGAGGGGCCATGGCTCAGAGACAGAGCCTCTGCTTGGCTTGCAGTCCAAAGACACTTCCATGGTCATGTGGCTGGCATGACTAAACACCAGGGCACCTGGAACATTGTTACCTTCCCATTGAAGTGGTGCCTATTTATCTACTTGCAATTTCTTGCTTTTGAACTGCCCGGTTGGCAGGAGCTGGGGCCAGAGATGGGAGCTCACTCCGTCACGTGGCACACTCGGGTCTCGAACCGCCGAACTACAGACCTTCCGGTTTGCAGCTCAGCGTCTTAACCTCTGAGCCACCGCAGCCTTAACCAAAGAGGATAGACACACAAACAAAAAGAGGGTGTGTCCTCTAAAAAGAGGACATCTGGCAACCCTATCCAAAGCAGGTATTGGCTGTTCATTCTGCCCCTGGAAACAAGAAGAGACGGTCTCCAACACCACAGTCCTTAAAAGCTGGTGGAGAACCAGATGGAGCCAATTTGACCATCCATTTGGAAAGAGGAGCAAGAAGGGTCAGCCATGAAATGAGGAGCTGAGTGCCAATTCTAGGAGTGGCAGGTCTGGCTGGAGGAAGTAGAGGTCTCCCTCCGCCACCAAAGATTGGAGTGGAAGGGGTGGAATTTGGAAGGTGGGGGTCAGTTAAGGCCGAGTTTCAGCAGGGCTTACTCCATTTGCAGCATTGGAGCTCCATGCAGGAGTGCCCCCGCGTAAGTGCAAAGCGCATTTCCTTCAGCATACTGTATTCCCACACCCCAGAGAACAGGAAGAAGAGTTTCATACCCCGCCCTTCACTATCCAATGGAGCCTCGGAGTGTTTTATAATCTCCTTCCCTTCATCTCCCCACAACAGGCACCCTGCGGGGTAGGTGGGGCTGAGAGAGCTCCAAAGGAGCTGCTCTTGAGAGAACAGCTCCGAGAGAACTGTGACTGACCCAAGGTCACCCAGCTGGCTGCAATCTGGAGGAGTGGGGAATCAAGCCCGGTTCTCCAGATTAGCGTCCACGCTCCTAACCACTACACCGAAGTGGCTCTCTGCCTTGGTAGGCAGCCCCCCCACCGTGCCTCTGACGTCCCAACTATTTCTTTGACTTTGGGGAGGGGCCATGGCTCAGAGACAGAGCCTCTGCTTGGCTTGCAGAAGCTCCCAGGTTTAATCATCTGCAGCACCTCCAGTTTGGAAATGAAGAAAAGTTGGTTTTATACCCTGCCTTTCACTACCTGAAGAAATCTCGGAGTGGCTTCCCTGTGAAGTAGGTGGGGCTGAGAGAGCGCTGACTGAGAACTGCTCTTGAGAGGACAGCGCTGAAAGAACTTGTGACTGACCCAAGGTCACACCAGCAGCTGCATGTAGAGCAGTGGGGAATCAAACCCGGTTCCCCAGATCATAATCCTGCCACTCTTAACCAATGTTCCCTCTAAGCTGTGGGGTCTTGTGAGCAAAAATTCTACTTTGTGAGCTACTGGCATTACAGTCAAGCACTACTATGGTCAGTCACCCCTGGCAACTGGCGAGAGATTTTCCTTGCTGAGGGGATGCACTGCCAGTGCTGGCAACATGACGTCACTCCCCAGGCGCCCAGAAGTGATGTGTCACCATGTTGCCAGGGTTGTTCTGGCATTTGGGCATTTGGGCATAACTGCCAACCTAGCAGTTAGAAAGCAAGAAGTCAAGCTGGCTCTCGGAAGCAGGAACTTCAGGCTGCCTTGAGCTTCCTATTACACTGGAAATCAAGCACTGCTATGGTCAGTCTCCCCTGGCAACTGGCGAGAGATTTTCCTTGCTGAGGGGACGCACTGCCAGGGTTGGCAACATGGCGTTAGTCCCCAGGCACCTGGAAGTGATGTGTCTCCATGTTGCCAGGGTTGTTCTGCAATTTGGGCATAACTCTGTGGTTTGAATGGTGTTATGTATTGAGCCTAAAGCCTTTCCTCTTGCTGTACCAAGAATGGGCTGAGCTTGCTTCTCTAGAACAATAGCTTGCCTGGATCCAGGGACTAACCAATAGATAAGCAGTGTAATCTAAATAGCCTACCACTGGGAGTGAGTCTCTGTGTTGGGTGTGGTGTTTTGCATGCTTATAAGCAGGGCTCCAGCCCTGCTAGCTTCATCTGGTAGTTTGCTGAAATCACCGAATAAGCCAGAGCCGATCACAGCAATGTGTCTAGAACCCAGTATTTAACAACTGGACAGATCTCTGGCTCTGTGTCACTCTCACGGTTATCTTCCTCCTTCAGGGGAGTCAGGCGAACACCGGTTCAGTAAAGGATGTTCCCCACGCTGCTCCGAGCACCGAGTCGACGTGGCGCACCCCACGTCCATCTTCACTCAATGCTGCCGTCAATCGTTCTGCAACACTCGCAGCGGCGGGTCCACCGGCGCGAGGAGTAGCCGCACGGCCGTGGGCGTGGGGGTCCTGGCCAGTTTCCTCTACGTTTTCCAGTCTGGGTTGTGAATCGCGCTGGCAAAGGGATCCCAGTTGCCTTTACGCACGGGGAGCCGACCCTCTCCTCTTCCCAAAGCGTGACTCCCAGAGTTCAGCCGCAGGCACCAAACTCTTTCTACTCCAGCACAGAAAGGCAATTGTCTTCCCTCCCGATTCTTGCCCCAAAGCGAAAGCCTCAAGCTGCTCTGAAGAGCCCTGGCCTAAAGCCAGCACATTCACGATTTCCTCCAACCACAGACCCCGGGGGCTTCTCTTTGTAAACAGCATTCATTCAGCGTTGCCAACTCCAGGTTGGGAAATTCCTAGAGACTTGGGTGTGTGTGTGTGTCTGGGAAGGGTGGCGTTTGGGGAGGGGAGGGGGGAGACCTCAGCAGGGTCTAAGGCCATGGAGTCAACCCTTCCAAGTGGCCATTTTCTTCAGAGGGACTGATCTCTGCACCCTGGAGATCCACTGTAATCCCAAGGGATCTCCAGGCCCCGCCTGGAGATTGGAAACCGTAGATCCTCCTGCCACGCTGCAGGAGCCTCTTTGCTTTGGGTTTTTCCCTGAGGAGCCCAGCATGGTTATCGGCTTCAATAAATGTTTGGCACAATAATTTCCTTTATGTCTTTTTTTCCCTCTAAAGGACTTTCAACTGTGTGGGGTGGTGGAGGTGGTGACTTTGTGACTGACAGAAGGAACAGCCATTCAGTGCCCATGCACCGCCCAGTTCCAAGGAGAAGAGGGCAATTGGCTTCACCTTCTGAAGGGTCCAGGATGAGCAGGTATCTTTCATGCTCATCCTTTCCTCAAAAGGCCCTTGATGAGTCAAGAGGCAAGCCGGACACCTGAAGACGTCATCCTGCACTGCCACTTAGTGGCCATTTCTAATATACCTTTTGAAGCCACCCACCAACAGAACTTGTGTAAAATGCTGTCAAGTTGCAGTTAAGAACATAAGAGAAGCCATGCTGGATCAGGCCAATGGCCCATCCAGCCAAAACCCAGGAGGTCCACCAGTGGGGCCAGAACTCCAGAAGCCCTCCCACTCTTGCCTCCCTAGCGCCACGAATACAGAGCATCACTGCCCCAGACATAAGGACATAAGAGAAGCCAATGTTGGATCAGGCCAATGGCCCATCCAGTTTAACGCTCTGTGTCACACGGTGGCCAAATATTCTAGGTGCCATCCGGTGGTCCACTAGCAGGACCAGAACTCCAGAAGCCCTCCCACTGTTGCCCCCCCCCGCACCAAGAATACAGAGCATCCCTTGCCCCAGACAGAGTGTTCCCTCTAGACCTTGCAGCTAATAGCCACTGGAGGATCTCTGCTGATTTACTGTGATCCTGTAGAGTTTTCAAGGCAAGAGATGTTCAGAAGTGGGTTGCCATTGCCTGACTCAATGTAGCAACCTTGGATTTTCTTGGGGGTTTCCCATCCAAGAAGAGAATAATCTATATATCTAATAGCCAACTTGCCCCCTCCGTGCGGATACTTAAATCAGCACGGAGGGGGCAGCTGGGGGGCCGGGGGAGGTTTGTGCACACGTGGGGCAGTCCCCACGTGTGCACAAAAATAAAAAAAGTTTAAAAAAATTTCGGGGGGATGTTTAAATCCCCCCGAAAGTGCAAGAGCGTCTCCTGTGCATGCGCAGGAGACGCTCTGCACCGCCGCCGC